CGTTTGTATGAATTTAAGTTCATATGTATGTATGTAATTGCTTGCTAACAGTTTTGCAGAAATTTTATTATTTCGCTGTCGTCATTGTAAGTGTAGATAAAGAATCCATATTTTTTCTTTAAGATTCAATACACAAAGTGTGGTGAGTTCTAACCAAAAATGGCCTATTGTATGTGTATCACATTATAATACTTTTACATGCATACATACATACCTACTTATGTTATTTAAATTCATAAATATTTGCTACTCTGCAAGGGGAACCCCCAAACATAAATTTTGCTTTTTACATACATACAGACATACACCATTCGAATCTCAAATTTCTCGAAACATTTTCATTATTTATTTTACTTTCCTCTGCTGCCAAGCATACAGTTGCGTGAGAAATATTAGACTTAAACTTTAAATAAGACTTTTTATGTATGTACATACAGTTGCACACAAAAAACAGCAGTGAAATTTTTGAAGAAAAAAATTAAATATTTTTGAAGTTTTAGTCGATCTCCAACGGCGCGAAAAAAAGGTCCTTCACTGCTGCAGTGATTCCGGCCTTCTCCGTGGATGAAATCTAAAAAAAAATTCTCTACTAGATAATATTGTCTGTACAATGACCTACGATAAAAAAAATCATAAATTGACAATATGGCGGCGTTTTAAAAAAAAAATAGTCGAATTTTACCCAAAACTTTGGTCGTTTTTGGCCTGCCGAAATTCGATTTTTTGATCAGATCAAAAATCGATAAGTCATTGTACGGAGAACTATATATAGAAGTTGTAAAAAAATTCGATAGTGATCGAATTATTTGTTTTTGAGTAATCACTGCAGCAAATTCGGAAAATGCTTTTTCGAGAAAAACGCGTTGAAAGATAAATTGATCGTTTTCACTCGTAGCTAATGAGACTCTCTAGCTGCCGAACGGCTGTTCTTTAAATTTCTATAACTCAAAAACTATTTGAGATATCGATTTGAAATTTTTATATGTTACTTTTAAAGGTGTATTCTACCGAAAAAAGATCTTTTTTTTTTGAAATTGCACACTAGGTGTGTCCCTTTTTGAATTTTGTAAATATTTTTACGGTAATCATTATTTCAGAAAAACAAAATAACCAACAGTCCATTTATTTTGTGGAAAACTGTGGGTATATGTATATGTGCATATGTATGTATGTGCTAGTACACTTAATTTGAAATTCATATTTTCTCTATTTTGAGTTGTTTGCACAATGCAAAAGAGTCCTTGCAAATATTGAATTCACATTGAAGCTAAAAATAATCCAACTAGGCAGCAACAATAGCAATATTATTGCATAGTATTTGGTAGTAGTAGTCGTAGTAGTAGCAGGGGCAGTAGCAGTAGCAAGAAAATACAAATACACTCCAGAGTCACCACTTGATTCGAACGAAGTAACAACGTTTATATCAGAACCACGTAAACTCAATTTCTGCAACGTTTGCATTGTCTTTGGCCGCCCATTAATGCTAAATATTATAAATATTTTTATTACATATACATACATACATACATATGTATATGATAAATAGCTATATGTATTGTACATACATATGCATAAGTATATAAATATACAGTGTCTTGTCAGTGGTCTTCAAAAAAGGCCTAACTCGGAAATACAAAATTTGCATCGTAACTGCTTCATTGCTGAACTGCTCACTAAGTTAATTTATTCATTTTTTTAATATTTCTTTCTTTTCTATTTATAAAAGGCTTTGTCCTAAATGTTTAATGGATCAAAACACAGCTTAAACCACTGATTGAACTTAGAAGAATGTATTCTGAGTACTGAAAAGAAAATTAAATTTGGTTCAAAGGTACCTCTTTGCATGTAATTTGATTTAGAGGTACGTCTTTGCGTAGATTCACATTGTTTCTCATTTTTTTCCACGGAAAGTTAACCTGGGATCGATCTATTCAGATAAATCATACTTATGGTTTCCAGGTGTTTAATATTTGGAACATGTAGATAGCTCTTTTTCCTGGGTAAATATGTGGAAATTATTCTTTCCGAATCAGTGGAACGCTGGTCGAGCTGTTTGTGAAATCTTAACTGTTTATTTTTTTTTTTAATTTATTTCATTTTGAAATATATTTTTACGGCTTTCCGTATTTGTCAATGGAAAGAAGAACGATTTTTTCTGGTAGCACGAATAAGACGAAAACCGTTACTACTTTTATTGGCATAAAGTAATTTATAGTTTGTTTAATATCAAAATTTTAGTTTTATAAAATATTTTATCCGGTCAGAATACAGTGTTTACGTTTGCTGAGAAATGTTTATAAATATGTGATATGTATGTTTTATGTTTTATTTTTTTATGTATGCCGATTGTACTTATTTTTTTAAAACAACCTGTTGCTAAAATTTCAGACTCATCTATATTATTATTACTGTTAGTTTAACAGTTTCCGATTTTAATGCACGTGACAATTAGCAAAAAATATAAATAAATAGAAAACGTGATTTAAGAAAACCGAATAAATTCATAAAGATTAAAAATCATGCAAATACATACATACACATATATGCAAGTGCACAAACAAACTCGTATTGAAACTCGATAAATATGACGAGGACGGCGTTCCTGGATATTGGATATTATTAAAAATTAAAATCTCTTTGATGGTTTTTAAAAATCAATAAATATATTTATAAAATAAAATAAAAGACGAAAAATACATATTTCTAATATACTAGGCTATTCGTTTTGCGGTTTCGAAAATAAACGCAAATAAATTTAATTTCATTTTATCGTCCTTGTTTTCTCAACCTCGTTTTTTATAACAAAGTGTGAACCTTGGCATTATGTGTATGTGAAAAATTACATCATTTAAAATACCGCCTCGTAAATTTTGGCAAACTGCGATCTGTTTAAAGTAATTTTCGACCAGTAATTCAATTCTGTAACCTTTGTCGACACGGTTTGTCGGATTGCAGACTTGCGAATTTTGTCGTGTGCAAAAAAATTTAACTTTTCTAATTGCGGGCGCCCCTCGGCAGGGAATGGTAAGCTCTCCGAGTGTATTTCTGACATGAAATAAAGGCTCCTCAGCCGTTCGGAGCGATTTAGTATAAACTTTAGGTTCCTCCATTTGTTAGAAAAAATATCAAAATGTAAAAATCACAAGTTGAAGGTGAAGTTCGGGGGAAAAATCGCTTTAGCGGTTAAAAAGCGCCAATTATATATTTTTTTGAGTAGTTGGGAGGATTGTGTACCATAAACTCCTCTTAAAGCACGAAACGTGGCCATGTTTAAATCACCATTTTTGTAGTAGATTTTAAAAAGTTTAACGCTTCGTGTGGTTCTTAAGCGATGCTTTATCGTAAATGCGTCACGTTTATCTAAAACAGAATGTGTTTGGTTTAACAGTTAAGTTATATGAAAATACACTTCATTACTTTTGAAAACACAAAATAAATAACCTTCTATTGATGATTATAGCAAGATTAGGCTGATTTAAACCACATTATTTCGTGCAAGAAAAAGCTGAAGAATCTGTTGAGGGCTGCCAGATTATCAAACGAATATAAGAAAATCATCTGATAATGTTTTTTTTTATTGAAAAAAAGCTGTTAGTTATAAATATTTTAGGCCGAAATTCTAACACTTTCCATTAAATAAAACTGTTCAACAAACATACATACATATGTACATTTGTAATACGTTGTGTTATGTGCTCAATTTTCTCATATGAGAAATTCAATATTCCCAATAACAAGAAAAGTAATCTCTCCCACTCGCATATTACACACATACATGTATACACACATGCACATGGATGTATTTATATAAAACTGAGAGATAAGAAAGCTGAATATCAAAATATGACATGTAAAAATATTTATATACATACCTATATAGATGGATGTATGTACATATTTATGTATATATATACATATATGTATGTATAAATAGATGTTAAAAGAAGCAAAGTGAAAGTAAAGAGTGGATACAGCGTTGGTAAAAATCCAAAGCAGAACAAATTGAACCACGACTCGCGCACTCTACAGCTACAGGAGGTGGAATGGGGTCGGAAATATGTACATACACGTACATATGTGTACTTCAAACTCATGATTTTAAAATATGTTTGTTTGGTAAATTATAAATTTTGGATACCAAACTATTTACCATTCACGAAAATAGAATTAGGCTTCGGTATCCCCAAGAATATGTTGGCTATTCATTTTTTTTTTTTTTAACTTTTAATATGTACGTGCCTACCGTACGTTGCATTATTGTTAAGTAATTTTAACAAAAGATTTTATTGTTATTGTTGCTATTTTGTACTTATTTATTATGTGCTTTCATAGGCAGCTTTTCTCATACACAACCAAATGCACGTACGCCGATTAAGATTTGGTATTGAATACGAAAAAAGCGTGCGCATGCATACATACATACATACATATGTATTACATACTCTGATTTACATAAAGGCAGCATGAGTGTGTCGAAGACCGTATATATGTACAACATAAATATATGTACATATGTATATTTAGAATCCGAAAATGCAGTGTGCATCAAAGAAGGCCAATACATGTGGAGAACACACTCTTCTCGTTACTTTAGAGGTCTATTAGCACAGCTGAGTTGTTAGTGTGTGTGTGTGTGTGTGTGTATAGTATGAGTATATAAGAATTTTTCGTAAACACAAATATACAACTGAAAATACTAAAAACGATCAAAACCACGTACGCATTTATTTGTAAATAGATTTATATACAAAATGGTTTGCTGAATATGTTTCGTATGTATCGAAAATGACTTCGTATAGAGCCGCCAGTCAACTAGTTGGACTGGGGACCACAACTAGTTACCGTTTCCACTTGGGCTGAATGAATTTCGCATCGCTAGATAAAGCAATTTTTAGTACTTTTTATATTGTAATTTTTTTTTTAATTCTAAGTTTTTCTTATTTACTTGCCTTTTTAATAGCAAGAGATAATAATTTTTTTACCTTCCTTAATCTTTACAGGTTCTTGAGGCTATACAACAAAGTCCATTCCTCGTTGGCATGCACTATGCATTCCAAACGGATTCGAAATTATATTTAATTTTGGGTAAGCTCTACACATTCTCCAATTAAACTAAGTAAATAACTCATTAATTGAAAAACATATATATGTATATTTGATTTCGATAGATTACGTTAGTGGTGGCGAACTATTCACACATCTCTATACAGCCGAACACTTCTCGGTGCCTACTGTGCGCATTTACATTGCCGAAGTAGTGCTCGCATTGGAACATTTGCACAAACTGGGTATAATATACCGTGATATAAAACTCGAAAATATACTCTTAGATGGACAGGGTCACATAGTGCTTGCCGATTTCGGTTTATCAAAAATATTCGAACCTGATTCGGATCATCGTGCGCATAGTTTTTGTGGTACATTGGAATATATGGCGCCAGGTGAATTATCAATTGGAATTTTATTTTAATTTTTTATTTTAAATTTAATACTTACTTGAATTATTTTTTTTTTTTTTTTGCAGAAATTATACGCGCCGGTGCTACTGGACATGATCTCGCTGCCGATTGGTGGTCTGTGGGCGTACTCACCTACGAATTGCTCACCGGCGCCTCGCCTTTTACAGTTGTCGAACAACAAAATTCTCAAGTCGACATTTCACGTCGCATACAAAAAGTCGATCCGGTATTGCCGTCGACATTAAATGATACAGTCAAAGACTTTATATTGAAAATGTTGCATAAGGATCCCAAAAAACGTTTAGGTGAGTTCATAAAATATAAAAATTTTTCCGTTATTTCGAATATTTCACAAAATTGTGAATCAAAGGAAATCACTGCATAAATTTTACTTATTTTTTTAATATATTAAATGTCTCTTTTCAGGTGGTAATAGTAAAAATGCTGCTGAAATCAAAAAACATCCGTTTTTCAAAGGTATCGACTGGGATGAGCTTAAGAGTAAGCGACGAAAAGCACCATTCAAGCCGAAACTGGATAGCGAAGATGACACTCAGAACTTCAGCGAGGAATTCACCAAACAGCCAGTGATCGATTCTCCTGCACCGGTTCCTGTTAATACACATAGATTGTTTCGTGGTTACTCCTATGTGGCACCGCAGCACTTAAAATCGCTAAGAGCAACGCAAAAGGTGTATGACGTCGAGTATTCGAAAGATCCAATTGTGGTTAGTAACATAAGAATACTACAAATACCAAAGAAATTACAAATTAATATTCTCTTTATATTTCTTTGCAGCATCCAACGACCTGTCCGCCCTCACTTCAATTAGGCAACCATTTGAGTAAAGGCAGTTTTGGCAATTGTTACATCCTCAATCACAAAGACAATGATAAGCATTTCAATCGTGTTGCCAAAGTAATATCGGAAAAATTATACCGACCTGCCGAGGTAGACGCTTTAAGATCTTGTAATCATCGGAACATATGTAAATATGTAGATACGTACCGTTATGGATCTAATATTTGGATTGTGTTGGAACATATAGCTGGCGCTGAACTACAACAATTCGTTCAAGCGTCTGGCGGCCTCTCTGAGTCACAATGCTGTGATATATTCATTCAAATTTGTGATGCTGTGCAATATTTGCACTCAAAAAATTTCATACACGGCGATTTAAAACCCGAAAATATACTATTCACCGATACGCAAATGAAACGTATCAAATTGGTAGATTTCGGCTCAGCCAGGTGAGTTTTGCAAGATAATAAAAGGATCTACATACATATATACAAATTGTATTTTGTATGTTTCTAAGAAAAATTACTTCAAACTGCCTTATAGAAATATACAAATAATCATTCAACTCTTCTTTACAGCTACAATACGAGCGGCAATACTTGGCAAGATACTCCTCGTTACACACTCGACTATGCGCCACCTGAAAGCCTTACAGACCCACAATGTACAATATACTCAAAAGCCTATGACATCTGGTGTCTCGGTGGAACACTTTATGCTATGTACATGGGCCATCCGCCATTTCGGCGCGCTCAAAACGAACAAGTACCCGAGCGGGTGGTGAAACAGCGTATTATTGATGGGGATTTACAAAATAAATCGTCCCGCTGGAAGAACGCTAAACCGGCAATGAAGCAGCTCATCACAGAATTCTGTTTGCAACATGATACCGCTAAGCGCGCATCCATTGAGGGTTTATTAGGCCACCAATTCCTCTGTGCTAAATTCGATGAGCTACAAAAGATACTTCGCCGTTTGAACCGCCAACAATCGATGGAAGCGGCAAGCACCGATGATGATGGTGATGATGAGGGGGATGCAGTTGCGGTTGATACAATTGAGGAAGAAGAAGAGATAGCAGAAGAAGGCGTTGATGCGGCGCATTTAGCTGATCAAATAGCTGAAAATGCGAGTGTTGATGAAGGTGAACAGCTTGTAAATAATGAACATGCTGAGGCGGAAAGTGCGGATACCGAATTAAATGAAGAGAAGGCTGCTATGGAAATAGCGGGAGAAGGGCACGAAGTGCAACCTCCAGTACTAGAAGCAATCGAGGAACTGGGCAATTATAAAGAATGGCAAACGCAACAGGAACAACAACAAGCTCCCAGTTTATCGCACGAATCTGATACACGATCTTCACATGAACGACTCGAATCAGAGGGTGACACCACCAGCGGCTTAGGGCGCAGCAAATCCTCTGATCATACACTGATTGAACGACAGACATTAAGTGTGAATAGTTTGAATGGTTTGGATGTGAGTGGCGAACAAATCGAATGTGGCGAACTCATAGAACTTGAGTGTGTTACCAGTGAAAAGACTGTAAGCGCAGATGAATTGAACGATAGCATGCTAGAGGACGAAGTGGATGTCGAAGGATTTGTTGGTTTTGATGAGGATGAATTGATTGAACGTAAAGTAAACTACATAGATATACTATTAGCGCAGATTGAACAGAATAAGACTGCTATTGTGGAAAGTGACAAGAATGAAATAGACGAAACGGAAGTGCTAACGAAGACTGAGCCAGCTTTTGAAGATACGAATGGAAATATAAGTGCAATTAAAGAAAACGCTGATACTGAAGTGAATGAAGCGTTTAAGGAACTAGAAAATGACAGCCTGCATAAGGAAACTAATAATATCAATACAACAGCCAAACTTTCCAAAGACAAGGCGTATGTGCAAACGCAAAAACTAATAACAAATAATAAAAAGCAACGAAATGTTAAACAACTGCGTACGAATAAGCGATTGAGTCTGAAGGAAAATAAAACTAATGAAAGCATTAAAGCAACGGAAGAGGCAGAACTATCTTTACCGACAATAGAGCGTTCAGTTGATACTGGCGTAAAAAAGAAAGAAGAATTAGAGATTGTAAAAGACATCAGTGAAATCAAAAAAGAATTACCATTATCAGCACAATCCAAAACAATACGATCTCGGCGCAGTCGCCGTAGTTTACGTATACCCACACACGATGATGAAAACAACTGGCTGGGTATTTCAACGCAAATGCGTGCAAAATACGCACAACGTTACAAAGCACGTTATCGCGTATTCACGATTCTACTATTTAATACACAAAACGCTTTACGTCATTTCAAATTCGAACGTCGCTACTATGAATACGAAACGCCAAAAGAGAACGAAATTCCGGAAGAGGATACTATATTATGGTCGAATAATAGCGATAAAAAATTAGAAAATAATGAAAATGTAGTCAATGATGAAAAAACAAATAATATTAGAATTGGCAATAGTAAAAAAACGATTCAAAAGCAAACTAATCGTGAAATCACTGCGCCCGTTTCCAAAAGCGAAATACACATTCTCAAGAATTTAGAAAAACAAGAAATTACTAGAAATGAAAGTCACATCAAGGATGCTGTACCTTCAACGGCAGCTCATTTACTTCCAGCTGGCACGCTGCGTACATTACGCCAACGTCACGTATACAAATGATTGGCGCATCAATTGCGAATTATGGTGGATCTAGAATTCATATTGGGCTATCGATATGGCCAAAAGGCAGATTATTATTACATATTTAATTTTCATATCCTTTTGAATAATCTTTGTAAATTCAGCTATGTTATAATTTAAAGCCAACAGAGTTAATGGCTTGCATTCAATGAGTCTGTGTGTGTGTAACAAAGAGAGGTGTAGATATTAAATGCGAGACAACCGTTTTTACTCCATAATACTTACTTACTTTAATTCTTAATATTATGTAAATGACGTTTAAAATAATCATGAACGTTTTTTTTACCTTTAAATATGCATTATGAAAACAAAAAGTACTGAAAAAACTGTCATTATTAACAGTTTTCTTCTTTATATTGGGTTACAACAATAAATTCATTTTCTAATTAACAAACTATACAATATATGGAAATTAAAAACAACACAGAGTGCAGTGGTCGAAGGAATAGAAACTCAGGTATATACATACATACATATTTAAAACCATAAAATGCTGCACATTTCCCAATTAATAAGATAACTAATGAAATTTTCGTTGCACGTTTGAAAACATTTTTACTTTCCAACGCATTTAATTACCTCTCTTATTACGCGCTCATTTCGTATTATATATATATATATATATATACGTATATGTATAAACTAATTGTCATATTTTATTGCAAGTACTAAAACCGAAAATTAGTATTTAATGGATAATGAATACAGCGTTGAAAAACTTATTGTACCTATAGTTCAATTTAAACGATATTTAAAGATGTGAGCAATAAAATTAAATAATAATGATAAAAATAAAAATAGCACCGAATATAAATATGAAAAAAAAGTTATATTTTGACTGTAATAAATAAATAAGGAACAAAAGCATAGTTTTTGTAGTTAATAGCAAATTGAGGTGAATATCACACTAAAATACTTTAACTAAACCAAAAACAAACAGAAAACATGAAATTGAAAAATGTATGAATTGAATGAAGTTGAAAACTAACAATATATGTACATATGTAGGTATGTATATGTATACAAAATACATGTGTAAATTTCGCCAAATAATAGTAACATTATGAACAATTGCAGCTAATACTGTATGTGTTTACAATAATTTTCACCAACAATTAATATGAAAGTGAAAAGTGTATGATTTTCAATAATATTAGTCCGCATATAGACACCTATATATATATAAAACGCTGAAAGGATTCACCACACAAATGAAAAAGACTTCTTTTGAGCGTATAACGGTAGTTTCTAGATAAAAAAAATTGATATTTACAAACGCATACTAATTTTTCTTAAAAAAAAAACAATAATTTTCAAAACGATTATAAAAAAGAATTCATTTGTGTGTGTAAACCTGAAATTTTAACTTATGAGTACTGATTTTAAATTAATAACATTTTTTAATTAATTTTTCAAGAGAGAAGTGTCTACTCCACCATCCTTTACTTCGGCTTGTGCTTATGGGAAATGTTACCAATTTAAAATTCTTGTTTACAACGATTTTCGCAAACATTTTTAATGTAACAGTATTTTCTTCAAACCTTAAAAACTATGGAAATTATTCTACATTTAAAATCTAAATAATTATGTTTGCCAGTTTTGAAACTCACTAATTTTGTATATAGCGTTTGCTTTCAACTTTTACAATTGTCAAAAGTTCTGTTTTTTTTAGATTTGAAAATACTAAATTCATTTAAATTGTATTAACTTTTTGTTACGATCTAGACCGTTCTTAAATATTGTATTTTTCCAGAAATAATAATTTATTTTTCAAAAAAAAATGTTAGACAATTTGCTTTGATTTATTTTTTTATTTATTTTTTTTTCAATTAATAACAATAAACATAAAACCTAAATTATGCTTCAATTAGACATATGTATAACCAAAAAGAAAAAATTTCAATCGCATTTCGTTGTTTGATAATTATGTTATCATAATATTGAAATCTATTTCTGAATACGATTTGAACTTCAATTGGCACAAATAGCTGTTGTATTTCGCAATTAGCGAATGAAAAGTAAACAAAAACTTCACCATAAAGGAATTTTCATGTTCTTAAAAAAAAAAATATTTTTTTAGTGTATTTAAAAATTACGTTGATATCGTAAACCGCAAGCAAGCATACATTGCATATGAGTGTGTGTAGTTTATATTAGATTTATTATTAAGAAAAATCACTGAGTAAAAAATATAATTTTTTATTATAAGTAATATAAATATGTAATCAAATAATTATAGTTGGGTTAAATCTAAAAAGAAGCATGCAAGTTATCTCACTATGGATAGCAAGCAGGTAAAACATATGCAGAGCCAGTGCTGTGCAGTTTTCAGTGGCTGAAAGTATACATAAAAATAATTTCCTAGCTCAAATCACACATACATTTGTTTAGTCTAGTTAATTTTTGTTTGTTTTTTTAGTTCATAATTTAAGTATAAATATTAGTAAAATATTAAAAGAAATTACCAAAATATGCACCCATTTGTTTATTATCTACAATGCTGAATTACTATGATTTACCCACAGCGATATGTTTCTTCTTGTTTCAATTTATAATTTTTTTTTTTTTTTTACTTATTATCGCTCTTTCTATTCAGTTAACTAATTTTCGTTATGAATAAGTTGAATTTATCTACATTTATTGTTTTTGCTTTTAGCTTTAATTATTTAATTGCATTGTATTTTTCCTTCTATAATTGCAAATGTATTCAAATACATATTACACACATATATAACACAATTTAAATAATGAAAAATATTTACTATTAACGCCAATTATTATTACTTTATTCAACATATTGCACACATAGAAATGTAATAATTACATATATGTTTAGAACAGAAGTGCATAAAAATATGTACTTTTATTTTACTTTGCTATAAAATACTATGAAATGAGAAAACAAATTGAAAAATATTACTTAACAATAAATTTTGTTTTAAAAAATTTAACATTTTGTATTTATTTATTTATTTATTTTATTTTTCGATACATTATTATTCTTTTTTTGTTTATTTTTTTAATTTCTCTACTATTATACTCGTTATTTTGGAAGTTTCATTTGTTTTTGATTTATTTGCGCCGCAATGTAGGCAACATATAACGACATTCGGTGAGAGTGCAGCGGAATCGGTTTGGAACGAAATCGCAGCAGAGACTGTCTTCTAAGCCCACATTATAGAACCGTTATAATTTCAAATTTGCGAATTTAATACGATCCGTATGAAAAATAGAGTTTAAGATAAATTTAGCATATTCGAAAATATCTCCTAGGTTATAGAAGTCAGTACTTATAAAAAATATTGCCAAAATAGTGAAGCAAGCCGTTATAGGGAAAATTGTGTGTGCAAGCTAACAGCAGGCATACTGATACACACTAGTATTAGTGTGTGAGAAATCAAATATTTTCATAAATAGCGTATAAAATAAATGAATATATATATATAAGTATATACATAAAATATAAATAGTAGTGTGTATAATAAATTTTGTATGGACAGTTTGTCGAATGCATCACGGTCAAAATTATACATAACAATAGCATACTATCTACCTATGTATATATGTATGTATAAGAGAAATGCGAGGAATCGCATAAAGTGAAATTAATAAAAGGATAGCAATCAAAATCTGTGTGTGAAAATAATATTTATATTAAAAAATAACAAAGAAGTCACAAGTCATGCATAAAATGATATTTGTCGAATGCATCACGGTCAAAATTATACATAACAATAGCATACTATCTACCTATGTATATATGTATGTATAAGAGAAATGCGAGGAATCGCATAAAGTGAAATTAATAAAAGGATAGCAATCAAAATCTGTGTGTGAAAATAATATTTATATTAAAAAATAACAAAGAAGTCACAAGTCATGCATAAATGATATGTATGTATGTAGCATATTAAATAATTATTAAAATTAAAAATATAAAATATTTACTAGAATTTCTTTAGAGGTTTCGATTTATAATGTGTACTCGTAGAATAATTAAAGAAAATAAAAAAAAAAGTTATATATAAATACAAGGATATGCATATGTATGTATGCATAAGCAGTATACTTAATTATAGACCTTTTTTTTAAGAATATACAAACGCATATCGGAGTTTAAAACATACGTCGTAAACAGCTTCGAAAAACATTTCTAATAAAATAAAAAATATATATGTATGTATATAATACCACGTACATACCATGTGTATGTACATAATATTTATATAAAAAATACATAAATTAAGTAGAGAAAGGTAAAGAAAACATTTAATCAATAATGATGCCTTTAAAGAAAGTTGCCTTATATAAGAACAAAAATTAAAATTAAAAAATTTAACAAATTCGAGTAGTTTACGTAACAACCCTGCACTATTTAAATTTTTGATACCATTATCAGAAATAAATAAAATTTGACATACCATGAAAGAAAATGATTTTGTAAAAAAAAAACAAAGATTTTTGGTTATATCAAATTTGGTATAAATTCAATAAATTATGCATAATTATTATTTGGTATACATACTTATAGTATGTATGCATATGGAGGAATAAATTAACCTTGCTCAAAGCAACTCTAACTCTCATCCCTTTACCACTCCGGGCTGGACAAAATTTTAAAGATTTTCGAAAATTTCCTAGCTTTGGATTCTAACTTCTATTAGGGAAACTAAAGGTATCTGGAGTTTTGGCGGTTAGGTATAACTATATAAATATAAATATCTAATGTCTAAATCACCAAAAAATTGATTTGGGAAAATTTACTTGGCTTTAAAGTTGAAAAACATGCTACTGGAAGTAAAAAAAATGTCTTGTACACATATGTACATACATATGCACAAAAAAGAAAAGGGAAAAATTGTGTGCAAAAATATTTCATTTTTATACCAAGTATGTGAAGAAAGTTAATTCAGCTAAATATGAAAATATCAATGAGCTTGTACACTCATAGTTTGCATTTTTTTTTGTATAAAATGATATCAAACACTATAATTAAATAAAAATAAATATTATTGTATTTCATGAAACTAGTTAAGATCAAAACTATTATCAAAAAGTATTTAGTATTAAATATTAAAGTAGTTCAATATAATGAAAATTAAACTTTTCTAGTAAGCAATTGAGTCGTATATAATTAGTTAAGGTTAGGGTATAAAGTTAAAATAAAATATATACAAGAAAGGAAAATTAGAGATGTTAAAATATATGATTTAAGAATATATATATATTGCATGTAGAAGAAATAAAATATAAATAATATCAAATTTCACACCGAAAAATACCGTTGCAAAGTTATATTTAATTAAAATGTATGGAAGAACCCAGTCCTTTATTTCCACCGACGATATAAACAGGTTTGGTTTAGAAATCTTAGCTTAGTTAAAGTTTACATTTATATGACAAATTTTTTATCGTAAATTAAACAATGGAATATATTTAATTATTTTTAACAATTTTTATTGATTTCTTTTAAAATGAATCATTTCAATTATATGTATACCTTTTTATCTATGCTTTTTAATATTTTTTTTGCTTACGCCACCTTTTTTCGAACGTTTTGTATAGGACTTTGAATTAGAGTGTCGTTTCTCCTCCCATTTCATTTGTTTTGCCGATGATTTGTCCTTATTGAAAACTGCATGTGAAGTACCCTGTCCCTTCGTTTTACCTGTTTCTTCGAGAAGTTCCGCAAAATCATCCGCAGCAGCGAATAGCGAACTCATATCTACAAGTTAAATTTTTTACATTACACAATAAATTAATAGGTATAAAGCTTTACTAACCATCACTATGTTTCAATTTCTTTGCAAAGCTCTTTCCATCCAATGCCAGTGAACGTTTACGTGCTTTCTTACCATTGGCAGATGCCAAGCCACTATCATCTTCATCTTCTTCATCTTCATCTTCGTCACCACTCATGTCTTCGGACATACTATCGCCATCCTCCTCGTCACTTATATCAGCTGGCGCACCATCTTCATCCAATGATATTGAGCCATCATCATCGTCGTCATTATCATCATCTTCGAAGTTTCCATCAATCGAGCCATCCTCATCTGCAGAAACATCACTATCACCAGCGAAATCACCTTCTTCTATGTCATCATCACCCCAATCCGCATCGATATCTTCCACACCGTCACCGTCATCATCTTTAGAAGCGCTCTTTTTCGTCTTTTTGATTTCGGGTTTCAACTCACCACCTAATGCTTTCAGAAAGTCTAATTCTTCATCCTCTTCATCTTCAGCGTCAGCTGCCGCTTTAGCTTTTTTGCCAAAATAACTGCCGAGATATTCTTCAAATTCATCGTCACCAATTTCGCCATCTTTAAGCATTTCGTCATCCTCGTCTTCCACTTCGGTTAGTTTCTTTGTTTTATTCGAAACAGTTTGTAGACGTTTTTGCTCCAAGAAATTGAAAATATACATCTCATCCTCAGTACAATTGGATTTAGTTAAATTTTTGATGGGTTTACCACGTGCGCCGAATGCCACATAACGTTTGTGTGAAATTGTAGGCGTCTCATCCTTCTGATTATCCAATTTTTTGGGATTCTTGAAAGCGAAACGCTCTAGAAAATGTGGTAAGCCGAAATCTCTCAAAGGATCACCGTAATAATCAATTTTTTTGTCTGCAGAGAGAAGATTTCAAATTAGTAGTTAATAAATTTACAATAAAATGAATGCATACGATTTAATAGGTTTTCGGCGAAAACTTGTACTGTCGGATGGTAATGTTCGCGAAGCAGCAGTAATTCATCGCGCAAAGCGAATTCAGCGCCTGCATACGAGGGCACACGGTGATATGGATCATATTTACTTGGTGCTATTTCGCGTACCTTTCCCTCCGTTGCCGTTGATTCGACTTTCGCGTGATGCCATGAAGACTTGATTGAAGTAGGCTGTTTCTTATTCACATTTTCTTCATCATTAGCATCGTCTTCATTACGTATATCCTCGTACTTTTCTTCGCCATCGCTATCGAACTTTGCCAACTCTGCATCTGTTACTTCTACTTGTGGCAACGTTGTCAAATCGTTTCCGGATTTTTCTTCTTTACCATACGGACTTACACCGCCGGCCAACTCTTTGCGACTGCGCAATAACTTGTGTATGACTATCAGACAACCAGCGGCCATATTAGATGGCACATAAAGAGAACATTGCAGTAATCGTTTAATAAATGCTTGCGCCCGTTGCACGTTCGAGTCTATATGTATGGCCCTATGAATAATATGTAACAGTTGGGCTGCTGTTTTAGCACCTATGTTTACTACTTCCAAGTCATGCATTTTCTTATAGAGCGCATTATAGAAACGATCTGATTTTTCCGTTTTCACAGTCAACATCTGTAAAAGTAAACCCAGGGTTTGTACTGAGACACGAATGTCAGCCAAATGCACCAACCGATAAATCGTGTCTTGCATATCTTTGTTGAGAATTTCTGTGGATCCTTCAGCTGGCTTTGCCTCCAATATGGCTTTTTGTAAGCAGCGCAAAATGGCTTGCATAGTGCGGTTATTAACAGCGCCTTTTTGTACAAGCACTTTAAAAAGTGCAAAGCAAATATTAACTAACTTAGAGCATACTTCAGGGCGACCAGACGGTGCTATACTGGCTAGGAAGCAAAGAGCGAAATGCTGTGCGCGTTCAGAGATGTTATTACGGAACAAAAGTTTTTCCGATTCAGCAACAATAACGCCACACATATTTGGGTGACGGTGTGCAACTTCACTTAGATGATGTAGTGCTTTGGAGGCAACTTTTGCGGTTGGATCCCCAAGTTTGTTTATGAGCATAGTAAGTAACATTTGTTCCTTTTCTGGTGCATATGACAAGAGTTGTGATGCCGCAACAATGGCTGCATTCTTATTATGCTCCTGACCGGTTTGTATAGCCTGCTGTAGATTTCGCAAGAATTCTGAAATATTTATAATTGCTTACAGTTACAGTTAAAGATACGACTTCATCCAATTCTTACCAAAGTAATGCTCTTTCAACTCATTTTCAAAATACCAGTAAGCATATATACGACGCTGTTTATCTTTACTCAATGTAGTATTTTTACGAACCAGCTTCCAATCAGCACCGCGCATTTGCAAAGAAAAAAGTTTGCGATGCGGCGGCAGCAAAACTTTCTTCCACAAATCTACCAGTATTGATACTACATCATTCGAAGATTTATTTGAAATCTTGGTGTAGCCAATTAATGTGCCCAGTGACTCTAGATTTGCAAGGGCGTTACTGGTGACAAGTAAAGCGCCAGCATTTGCGCGATCTTTTGCTGTACCCTTACGTAAAGCAGTTTGTAGCCATCGTGCGTCTGATGCATTATCTATAGAAATAATATACTATTGAAATGGATTTTTTGTAGGCTATTGAGTATATTTACGCTTAGAGAATGTGGGCATTTCCGCCTCGAATGAGTTTTTGCACAAGTTGTATAATTCTATTTGCTCAGATTCCTTCATGTCCAGCACTTCATCTGTTGAAGGATATTCTGTGAACTATAAAAAATTTATAAAAGAACAATGATTTTAGGTTTATTCAAATCGAGTTTGAGAAATTGTTTATATTTACCACATTGAACCACTTTTTGTTTGTGTCCGCTTCATCGTTTTCATCTTTCTGCTTTTGTCGTTGTTTTTCACGTTTAACAAAGTAATCATTCTCATCATCATCCTCTACTCCGGATAATTTGGGAACATCTTCCTCTGATTTTATATCCTCCTTTACTTCATTAGCCTTCGACTTTTTCTTCTTTTCTTTTTTTGAGTCTTTCATTTTAACAGCTGCACCATCCATGACTTCTCCATCTTCGTCGAACAAAATTTTTTTATTTCTTCCTTGCGTTGTTATATCAAAGATGGGACCTGTTGTTGGCTTCATTGTTTAAATGTTTTTATGCTTCCTAAGTTTAACAAAAACTAGCCAGAAATTAAGATTCCGGCTAATAACACAAAACAGAAAATAATGCACGTGCGATCAATGAAACGTCAAAGAGTAGCAATGTTGCACCTTTTGTTTACGTTATGAAATGGGACCCAATGCGGTGTTTAGAAGGGAATTTTAAACCATGTTACAATGTTTCAGGGTATTATAGCTTTCTACAAACAGCACGAGTTCAAATTTCTACTTTCATCTACAGGCCTATTCTGTCGAGGTAATAAAATTTACCATTCAGTAAATTTTGTTACTATTCAAATCATTGCTGTTTGATTTTGTGTTATTAGCTTGAGAAAAAAATAAAAACCAAAATGTGTCGGCATATTTTGGGTCTGGAATTCATTGAAGAAGTTTGCGAGAAAAAATTTACCAATTTAATTTGGAAGATAGCGTTTACATCCAGTTTTTTTTGTCGTTTAGGCATATTTTTCTTAATCAGGTCCAAATATTTACATTGAAAACTATTGCATTTTGTGTTATTCATTTTTTTTTAAGTTTAGTAAGTAGAAAATCTATTTTTTTAAAAGTTGAATTGGTAGCAAAAAAAAGCTAAATTCAAAAAATTGTTTATGCTAGATAGTTAATATTTTTGAAAAAAATTGTGAGTGAAACGAAATCGTACGATTTTCAGCATGGTGTGCACATGTTTTCCTAGTAGAAATGGCAGCCCTTTAAAATACTGTTTTAAATATGTACAACAGCAACCCTGTCAAACCGCAAAAATGTTAGTATATCAACAAAAAGTTGGAAAATAATCACGCAAAAAATTATTCTTTCGTGGTTTTCGGCCGATGGTAGATAAAAATAACTGCTTAGCGATTCGTAACAAAATTGAATATATTCCTCAAAGTTATAATACCACAACAGCAGCTTTTCATTCTACAGCACAAGAAGTGGATCCATTTCTGGAAAAAATGAATGAAGCAGCATTGGCTAGTATGATCTACAATGATCCCATAGGCATTTATGAACAGCCTAGGTAAGCCAATTGAAATATGCAATTATATTAGTTAATAACTTCTTACATTCCTTTGAAGACCACGTTTCATATTCAAAATGCCGCGTGTGGTGCCTGATCAAAAAGCGAAATTTGAGAGCGATGAATTGTTCCGACGTTTAAGCCGTGAAAGTGAAATTCGCTACACTGGGTATCGTGAGCGTGCCCAAGAAGAACGACAAATGCGATTTCACAACGGATGTCGTGAGGGCCATACAGAGATATCTTTTGTGACATCGGGTACTAACCTACAATTGGTTTTCAATGCCACTCAAAATCCATACTTACATGACAAGGAGTGCGATTTTGATAAAGAGCATGGCAAGGTGTATATAAAGTCCTACTTTATAATGAATGGAGTTTGCGTACGTTTTCGTGGTTGGCTAGATCTAGAACGTTTAGATGGTTCCGGTTGTCTGGAGTTCGATGAACGACGTGCTTTGCACGAAGATCAGATATTACGAGAGCAAATTGAACGATACAATCTGAGATTGCGCGAATTTGAAGATTCCAAACGTGCATATCGCGACAGCCGACCAGAGGTTGACATGGAAGCTGTAAGGCGTGGTGTACCCACAGGAGGAATTGGTGTAGGAGCCAGTATGTGGCGACGTTAAATAAGCCTTCATATTACGCATTTTGAGTGTTCGAGAATTTCCTTACTCATTAATGAAAATTATCATTTCAATATTATCTTCTTCATGGCAGCTTAAAATTAATTTAAGGATTTAGTAAATAAGTGAAAATTGTATTATACTGTATTCTCATTTTGCATCCATATGTGTATTATTAATTAAATTTTCATCTGACAAAAAAGTATTACTCCTCTGGAAGTTATTTTTCTACAACTGGACCTTGAACAATATTCTCAAAATAATAGGACATAAACCCTGCCTTTTCGATTAGTTTCTAAAGACTGGATATAAACATTCATAATCATACTTTATTTAATATTTCTTTAGTGGAAACAAATACGGATAGTTCTAAATATATGTTAGCATAAGTATATAAGTTCCAGTAGAAATTTAAGGCTAAAAATTAAACATATATGATTGGTGTCCTAATACGGGCACACCATTTAAAGCCATTGCTGGCATAATAACTAAACACAAGCGCGTCGTTTGCAGTTCTTTTAAAGATTTAACGAAATTGCAAATTCGATATTCGCAAACCGATGCTATCCTTGCCGATTTCGCTTACTTCGCATACGGTGCATAGGTTGCCTTTGTATTGTGGGTCAAACGATGCAGCACAGAATGGGCATGTTACTTCTGGCTTTCCGCGGTACAACGGCTTATAACTTATGCCACAGATATTAAATGGATTGAATTCTTCATAATGTAATTGATGCTCGTCAATGGGATTGACTTCACAAGCCTGTAATATTTTACGTACTTGCTGAGCCACTTCCGGACGTGGTCCCAACTCGAGTAGTCGTCGTGCAAATGATGCTGCTGTCTTATAGTTCTTCAACTTGAAGAACATATTCAAAGCTGTGCGTAACGTAAGAATTTGATGGACAGGCTGCAATTTGCAATGTGTAAAGTATGCAGCCATTTCGCAAAGGCGCTTCTGCTCCTCTAATGTGGATTTCGGCATACCCTTACGTTCAGTTTCCATCTTTAAACCGAGTATGTATTCAGAACAGATTTTTAGCAGTTGTTGAGTTTCTGCTATATCTTGTTTTGTCTCTACCACCAACAGGGGTATGTGTAACAATATGGAATGGAATTTGTCAATAGCTTCGGTAAATTTACCGCCGGTGGTCAATTGATATCCGGCTTGGAGGCGTTGTACTAAATCATTTAATTTTATTCCCAAAGCTGGGCGCTGATTTTTCGGATTTGTCTCACCAGTATTACGTAGTGGATATGCAGTTAAAGGCTGCAAGTTAGGCATTGCTGTAAAACTTGTGCGCGCGCAAGTATAATTTTGTAGAAATAGTGTTTTAAAAGGCTTAAAATTAATCACACCCAATTGATCGTTGAGTAGACGGAATGCAGATTCGAATGAACCAGATTTTATGTGATCCAATACTAATGGCGAATGGTTGGCCCAGTGTTGCGCCGCGGACAGCCCTTTATTTGGTGCCGCATAAAAGCCATTATCCAAAGCTGAAGCCTTAATTTTCGAAGCCAATTCCTCCGGCACAACCAAATCGTCGTCGCCTACATCCCAACCAGCGCCATCTTCGCCGACGCCTTCAGCACCAGGTTCAGTATCTAAGGCATCGTGCATTTCATCATCACCATCGTCGCCAAGACCCAAATCAGCATCTGCGCCCCAACCGTCACCGGCGCCGACATCATCCAAGGCAGCTACGTCAGCATTGGCGTTCAACGCTTGTCTGGCGGTGGCACTAGTACCTGCACGTGTAATCATTGCACCTTCAAAGAAGCCCTTTGATACGGTAAGTAGAGGCCAGTTGCTTTCGACCTGCTGTATGGGTACAGGGGGTTGTAATAATGTGGCATTTGGATTGACCAGAGGCAGCTCGTTCCCTTCTTGTGTGATTGCTGTCTCCAATTGTTCAGCTTGTTCTTGTAAGCCATGAGTTGCAGCGGTGAGGTAAGCCAAAGACAATTGTCCACAATTTTTGAGAATGTTGACTCGTTCTTTGACATCACCCAAGAGCAAAGCTCCTTGATATTGGGCTGACACATCCTTGCGGATCTCGGCAATTTTATTCATCTTCTTTAGCTTTTCCAAATTGCCAGTAATTAAATAGAGGAAGCTGAGCTTGTCAAAGTTCTTTGTGCGTTGGTAGCACATTTCAACAACTTGATGATTACCCTGAAGTGGAAAATTTGAAATAATTTTTAATCAAATCATAGCAACATACAAAAGGCACTCAGTCCTTACCTGCAATAATGCGGCTTGACCCAGGCGATCCCAGCAATCCTTGTCGTCGAGTGCTTTAGCAGCTTCCAAAGCGATTTCAATATTACCACACTCCAGAGCCAAACCGAAACGTGTTTTCTCGTCCTTTACGAAATGTAAAGCCACCTCCGGATATCCTTTTTGTTGTAAGTAAGCAATTATACTTTGACCCACCAGACGTGCATTACGCACCATATGCAAAACTTCATCGTATTTACGATTAATGAGAGCCAACTTGAATTTGTATTCCGTCGAGTCAATATGGAGTACGCGTGTGCGACACTCGCGGTCTAGACAAAAAACTTGATTGCCCTTAACACGAGTCAAGTAAATTGGCAAGTCAAGTGTGCGAATAATACCATGGTCACCATTAGTAATAGCATATTTAATGTGATTGCTTGTTGTATAAATGAAGACACCTGAGTCATCCCAGGCACCAGACTTAACGCGGCAATTCTCCTGAATTGTGCACAAATACTGTAGTCGACGATCGCATATAGTGACAGAGTGTTTGCAAAGTAAAGCCACCAACGACATATCAGCAGACCAAACCACATAACGACATTTGGCCAACTTAATGCAGCCAACGGATACTAGTCGTTGCACTTCATAAAGCGTTACATATTCAGGGTCCCGGATTAATAGCATTCCCGTACCAGCATAAAAGATTTCTTCGCAGAAGGTTGGTATTTTTTTGGTAACTTCATTTTTGAAGTTCTTAATTACTAATTGCTGATTCCGATCAAGTACAGCAAAACGGTTACGGGCTACCCATATAGCAGTTATGCCAGATGAACGTTTAGATTCTGACTCATTTTGCGATTCTGAATCTTTTGGTATCTGGTATAGATCGTAGGTGCTATTTTCGAGATTATTAGTTCGGGTGCATACGAGAACTGCATTCAAAGCCGGATTATAAGACATGCTGTGTACAGGAGATTTGCCACCACCACGTAATTGCATTACGACAGTGTCTTTGGTAGTTGTGAAATCTAATTTGCGAAGGAAACGGTCTTTAACATAATAAAGTAAATTGCCATGCACAGCGTAGGCTGGACGCTCTCTCTCCAATTTGAAAACTACCATTCCTAATGAAAAAAAAAAAATTGTTGAACTGATTTATAAATAGTTTTTATATCATGGCTTACCTCCGTCATGCCCAGCAGCAAACAAATTCAATGTAGGATGTGCAGTGAGTATCCAAAAACGTTCTCCATCCCGACGGAATGTGTACAAACATTGACGTTTAGTCATATCCCAAACACGTATACTACGATCTTCACCATTTGATAGTATCAAATCTTGTCTAGGATGGAAGAGCACACACGATACATTGTTATAGTGACCACGGCACGTATCAACTTCCCAGGCTTTGTATTCATTCATACGCCATAATTTCACAAGACGATCATCAGCGCCGGATACAATAAGTGGTAAGGTCGGATGGAAACTAGCCCAATTTACACCACGATCATGACCCTCCAATACGTGCTTAACTACTGCGTCAGCTTGACCAAAGAGATCTGTAGCTCCCGGATGTCCTTTCAAATGATCCTCTAGCCCACCTGGCCCAGGTGCAACATTTTTCTTGCGTAAACCCGATATGTCCCATACACGCACTGTTTGATCCAAGGACGCAGACACTATTTGATCTTCCGTCGGATGGAACTGCGCACTCATTACATAGTGGTTGTGACCGGTAAGCACACAAATGCAATTTCTTGATTGCCAATTCCAAATGCGAATGGTTTGATCATCTGAAGAGCTTAATATCCAAGGATACTCATGATGGAAAGCAACAGTGCGCACGTAATCCAAATGGGCCAACAGTGTAAATATGCACCGGCGTTGTTTATAATTCCAAACTTTAATCTTATAGTCATCGCCTCCCGAAACGAATAGTGGCATTTGTTGATGGAAGGCAACACTACGAACCGGTCCATCGTGTTCGTCGAATTTCTCAAGTAGTGTGTGCATACGATAGTCCCATAATTGAATTACGCCAGTGTGTAAACTGGCAAGAATCCAAGGCCGTTTTGGGTGGAAGGATAAGCCCTTAACCCGTGCCGACTTTGACTCAAAGTTCGTTAACATTTTGGATCTTTTGAGTCGTTTTGTATTTTTAGAAATCTTGATGGATACTGAATACTACTGCGGTTGTGTCAATTTTTTTTTGCAAAGAACCAAGTGCGATTTTGTATGTTTTTCAAGTTAATATACCTGCAACTTCGAAAACAAGTATGTTTTTGCTAAGTTCTCTCTCCACATGCGATTTTTTCAAAACTAAATTTGATAAAAATGCAAAATTATTGAAATAAGAACAGATACTTCTTTTTGCTGGAAAAGTGACACGTCAAGTTAATATATTCGCCTTCTGCTACTCAATAAAATTTAATCTATTACTAACTAATTCGGGTTGTCACTGCCAATTGACAATAAGACTGTTCGCTAGAAAATACAGTGGGTTGCGTCATTTATGCAGTTTATCCTTCTCTGCTCCGGAATACTTTCATTTGCAGTTAAATAAAGATATCAAATATGGAGCTACATGTGTACATATTAATATTTTCTTTACTATTTGTATTTAACCATGCTTTGATATGATTTGACGCTTGGTTTCTGAAAAATAATTTCTGTGGCTTAGTGATTATTGATAAGAATTGTTAGCAATTACTTTTCTTAAGCCGCTCACCGAACAAAGCTAGTTTTGTCACTTGGAATCTGATTTGGTTTTTGTTCGAATTTCTCAAATCCGATCGGATTGAACATAGAGCATTGTACACCAACACAGAGTCGAAAATCCATAACCAAGCGGAGTTAATCCCGATTTGACTTCAGAACAGTCCTAAAAATGTAAAAGCTTAAGCTCTACCGTTAAAAGTTTTCCTGGGTTTTTGGGCCCGATTTTTTTTTATTTTATTCTCTGGCAACTCTCAAGCATTGTTTTGATTCGCATACAACATTTTCAATTTGGGTCACAATCTGCATTTTTTTAATATTTTTGGTGGCACTAAATAATGAATAAAGTTTACGCATAGCACAAATGCGACATGACTTTGGCACATCGTGCTCTCTTTACTTGGTTCATTGTGCTCGTTTTCCTAATTTTGTTATGTCTACGTTTGGATCCGCGTACACATTGGAGTTGGTTTGTTACTTTTATACCGCTCTGGGTATTTGATGGGATACTAATAATTTATGTAGTTATTAAAATTATACGGAAGTGGAGAAATTTAAAACGTCTTAAGGAGTTGCTGATCTATTACCAGTGGTATATATGTGGTGTACTGTTAAAGATAGCTTCTCAACTAATGATCTGTTTGCGTTTGGAATATCCTCAATGGGAAATATCAATATTTATTACTATGATACCGATATGGATTCTACTTTCAGCGTCTATTGTGTATGTATTTGGCCGGTTAAATAATTTAAATTGAATTTTGGCGGTAAATATTTTATTACCTTATATTAATAAGAAAATAAATGTATAAGATTTAAATATAAGCAATAAAAAAATATTCTAAAATCCGTATTTACTTTGCGTAGCTTTACGATTTTGACGATTGGCGGCCCACATTGCTTGTAGTTCAGCCTCGTTGGCTTTTGCTTTGTGTGCTAAATATGTAATTTGATGCTTCCTTCTGGTACCAGCTGCAGGCTCTTCATCGACCAGAACACCAGTCGGTTGATATGCTGTAGAGGAAGCCAAAGCGGTACGCATCCACTCTTCTCTACTTGGGAGTACTTCGGCACTTGAAATATCCAAAACTTGTATGTTCTCATCTTTTCTTCTTTTTGCCCTACTTCCGGCAAGTGCCTGCATGGCCTCCCTATTTAAAATAGCTTGTTTTTGTTGCCCCTCCAAATCCAGCGCATCGTCTTCGACTTCCATATTTTCAACAGTTGAATTTTTGTTTTCGGTGGTATCATTAAAGAATTTCTCTTTCGCTTTCATCATCTTAGCAGCACGTTTTGCTATCAAATCATCTATTTCATTTTTGCTCACTTCAGGCAATTTGTCTTCGGAATTCAATGAAAAGAAGTCACCACCTTCATCTCCACTCTCCTCACTTTCGCTACAATTGACCAATGAAATCTTAGTTACATCTATGGGTTTCAACGGCTTTTTATGCGCTCTCCTTATGCCATCAACACGTTCAGTATTGTATGCCGGACGGCGGTTTTTCACGGTATCTGGTATGAATCGATTAACCGATGATGGCTTCGGTTGAGTAGCTATGTTATCACTATCATTATTAGGAAGTTTTACGGCAGATTTTGTAAAATTACGCTCCGACTTTGCTTGAGGTAACATACTTAATAAACTAGATTTTTTTTGGCCAGCTTGTAATGGTTTATTTTTCACTTTGTTTGTCATATCTTTTTCTACATCACTGAATTCTTTTAATGAGGGTATTGTAATTTTTACCGGACCTTTATTCTGAAGAACATTTACTGGTTTCGGTTTCGACTCTTCCACGGGTAAAGTTGCTTTTTTATGTAAAAACTCATCATCCTCCTCTTCAATAATTGTTTTATTTTCTATACTGTTCTTAGGAGTGGGAAGTTTGGAAAATATTGGTGTTACTTCTATTTCTTCGTCTAGTACTTTCGTTTCAGTAGAATTTTTAGGTTTGGGCAATGAAAGACTAGGTGCTGATAATTTACTAGTTTCTATCGCACTCAGTGGTGAAAATTCAGTTGGTGCATAGTCCTCTTCATCGTCGCTTATTTTACCACTGGTATGCCCACCATTTAAACCTTTTGCGGCTAATGATGATAAGCCATTAATTATCGCGGCGGCAGTGGTGCCCTCCCCTTCTTCTTCTTCCGAATGATTGGATTCCTCATCACTGCTAGCTTCATAAGCCACAAGAGACATCTTTTATATACTTAACTAAACACCTTTTGTAGAAAGATTTTATATAAATCTAGATATTTGTTTGTTAGTTAAAAATAAATTTTTTTCTTTTTTCGAAATTTCTTTGATTTTATGTGAACAAAAAAATTGGAAAACTTTTTGAAGGATTTTATTTGTTTACGAGTCAAAATAGTATCAGCTGATTTACATAAAGACTGCAGGCTTGCATTTAACTAATTTGTTTAGTCTGAGCTTACATGAGGATACTTTTGTCAGAGAACGTATAACATAGAGAAGGTGCAAGTACGGACCAGAGTGGAAATTGTCAAAAAGCACGATTACTTCGTTTCACGTAATCGTACCACACTCCTCACATGATTCGCAAAACTTGCTGTTAATTAAAAGAATTGAGCGTAACAGTATGTTAATTTGTAAACATAATGTAAATTGATAACATTGATAAAAATAAGGAAAATATCGCAAAATTTGCCGACGGCAATTTAATTTTTGCATATGTAGATATGTACGCCTTACTCAATTTAATACGAAATTGAAATATCCTCACTATCGTTTTCAGCAGGTCAATATATCTACATTATACTCATAATTCATAGTTGTATTCCTATTAGAACAGAAATTATTCATATAAAACCTACCAAAATTTGATTGGGACACATATGGAAGGCTGAACTTTCAAACCGCTCTCCTGAAAACTTTGAAAAATAGACTTACGAATGCAACACATTAGTATATGGAAAAATGCGTTTTTTCTGTTTTAGCTTGGGATTCGCACTTCATCCCTAAAATCTAGAATTTTTGCATTTTGCCCAGCTTACACAGACAACTTGAATTTACTTGCTTCCCAATATGAGCTAATAGGCAAACAGCAAATTTANGCATGCATACTACTGTATGTTGTTGTTGCCTCACTTTCCGCGACCATATTTCCTTCCGATTTTTTGTTTTTTTTGTCAACGCAGCAAAGAAGCAACTCGTTATGAATGAACGCAATTTGATTTGTTGTAGGGCGCAGGCGTCTATGAATGAGTATCTTATTGTTGTATTTGATTTCAGTTCTGAGCTTTTAGACAAGAGAAGTATCTAGAGGGATGGAGTAATTTGTTTTCACATATGCATATGTTTGTACATAATAAGCATGTGAGTATATGTTCACATGTACATGCAAAAGGTCATCTAAAAGAAATTAAAATCATTAACAAATGATACTGTCCTTAAGAAATACACATTTATTAAAAATTGTTAAAATTGTATCAGTAATTAATTGATGATTTCAAATTTGAATTCAATTTGGTCATTTATATGTGATAAAAGTAAATAAAAGCGGCTGTTAATTTACATTTGCATAGATTTCAGTTCTCTGTTGTATTTGAATACGCTCAATTCTGTTAATTTTTCATATCGAGGTGAAACAGAAATTTAAGACGAGAAGGAAATGACGATTACACGAAACGAAATTTTTCTGCCAGAAATGTCAGAAACGCTGGCTTTGCACCTTCTCTATGTTATACGTTCTCTGCTTTTGTCGCTTATCATCATAGTTTCGTATTTTGCGTTGCCCTTCACGTTCACATATAAACAAGTTTTTAACATTTGTTTCTTCTTAAATTTTTTTTTATTCCGCTTCATTTCACACTCGTAATTTTTTACGATCTACTATTTCTAAAATAAAAACACAATGTTTGTGTAAAAGAAAGTACAGTTTTTTTATCTACTTCTTTTATACATTTTTACATTTGATTAAACACCAACCCTAATTTTTCCTAAGAGTCATTCTCAGCGGCTTTTTTAATACACTCTAGTTTTTCTTGCATCAATTCAACTTTATCTGTCAACTCCATTATCTGGAATATTTATTAATCATTGGATACATACATATACGCACAGGTTTGCATGCACATACATATATGTAAATATTGTAGTTTAAACCCAAATTTCAATTACCAAACTAACAAAATTTCGTCCATATTTTTAAAGTGGTGAGTTTCCCCGCATGGAAGCAAACGTATATCTCAACATGGCGAATTTAGTCGTGAGGTCTTCATTAACATGTATTTTTGAACGGAATACAAAACTAGCCGTTTGACGCTTAATGCTTCAAAATATGTACCGCTGATATCCCATTTATTGTCTTGACTTTACCTAATACTAATTATGCACTAACAATTATACATAAATACATAGGCAGTGAGTGTAGACCTCTGGGATATATAAATACATATACATTTTTTTTTGTTGCCTTTCTCATTTGCCATAGCGTCTTCGAAAATGAGGTGGCCTTAATTTTCTGGATATGCTGACACATTTGCATGCAGGAGCTTTTGCATCTACGACAATCGATTTACAGGATGCTGCGCTACAAAGGCGAAGTTGACTTCGGGGAAAACAACCACCGCCGCCACAACAAGAGCGCCGAACATCATAGCCATTAGCATCGTTAACATTATCATCCACCGCCCTTCGTTTGTGCCAAGCTAGCACTTCGTTACCTGCCACTTAGACACTTTTGGCGAGCTACCGACCGAACGAGCATTTCAGTCATTTTCGAACATGAGCGCCGTTGGTTTCAATAAAAATAAACGCACCGGTCCGGTTGTTTTCTGAATAGATCACAAATCAACAAAGAATATATGTATATATATGTAATAGAAATAAATAAAATATGTACTTTATATACAATACAAAATAAAAATAAAGTAAAAAAGAGCATATGAATTTTTTTGTTTGAACAAAATTTTTCAACGATTAACACTAAAAATAGACCAAACGACTTGTATATTTATTACGTGTATAAGGGATTTGCAGTGCGGCGCTTTGTGAGAATAGCAAAAACAACAACAACGATATACATACATATACACGTGTATAAACATTTGGTGCTTGCAAAATATTTAAATTTGAAATTCATTAATCTGTGACATTCATTTATGTTCATATGTATGCAGTGAATTAATGCAAAAAAAAATATTAATTATTAAAAAACGTTAATAAATCAACATATATGAGAAAACTTTTTGAAAAAATATATTTAACACACATATAGAACTGGAGATTAAATACATACCGCTCAAAATGCCCGCATCGAATACGATAGTTTTGAAAAGCCTTTCAATACTACTTGGATTATTTTTTATTTTTGTCGGGCTGCTTAAGTTGACGCCAGCTATTAGTAAGGATCTGTTTAAAGATTTGGTAAGTATTAAAATGCAGTGCAGGATTTCGAAAAAAACAGCTATTATTTTATCTACTTGTTATGTTCGTACATATGTATGTACATAGGTACAAACATATTAAAATATGGCCCAATATATAGATGAAACCACCCACTTTTTGCTTAAGCGAAAAATCAATGATTCTGAAATGTATCTACATACGAATGATGATACATACATAATTATGTAAATATGGTAGCATAATTGTACTCGTATATGTAACTATATGTATATATATATGCACATATGTATGCATTTCTGCTTATCCCACAGGATGTTCTAGGATTTATTGATTTTTTCAGAAATGCTTTTCAAAGGAGTCGGAAGAATCAGATATTTCCAACCTTTAAATTATTTTCAAATTTAATTTTAAAATGGTAAATGAAAATAAATACAATATATATGTATTTACAAATGTTTATATATGTATGCACTCCTTGAAGCTTTGCTGGATATTTATGCTATTTGAAACTTGTTCATATAAACTCTGAGCAGATTAATCGTGCTCTCATTCATCAAACTTCTAACACTTTTATTGAGTCCAGCTAATTGGAGAAGGCCTAAAACTGTAAGTCAATTAATTAATAAAGGAAAACATCAAGATGCGCTCCACCAATTGGATAAGCAATTTATTGCCGAATGTAGCCTAACGGGTTTTAATGCGATTACTGCGATATAACGAACATTTGCGTAGTTAAATTTCTTTAAACAAAAAATTAAAGAAAGAAATTATAATAAATAGATAAAATAAAATAAAAAATATACATATATATATATTATATATATCTTAAAGTACAACATAAAAAATGAGGAAAATCTGTTCCGAATTGGGATTGTGTATATTTGGTTGATTCTTGCTTACCCAGTACTAAAATGGACTATCCATACAAAAAAATATATATATATTCATGCTCTATTTGCTTTCCCACTAGTAATTTTATCAAAACATTATAACCAATTCAGGATCTTCAATTACTTCTAATTCGTTTAAGAATGACAATTTTTATAAATAATATTTATTTTTTTTTTTTGTAAAAGTCACATTTGTAAAATTAGTTGTATTTCCATAGTAAGCAGACTTTTTTTTAATGAAAGGACAATAAAAAACCCCAGCAAGAGGACACCCATTTAACAGTTATTTTTATTGAAAATTAATAGCATTTCTTAAAAATACAAAAATATTTCATTGTATTACTATACTTAAATAAAAATTAAACAATTAATTTCTGACGAGCTCCGGGCTATTGCTGAGGGTCGCTCGATGATTGCCGGAATATTTGGCAAAAAAATTATATAAAATTGAAAGTCGTTTTTGTTTTATATTGAAAACTTCCTTCTTTATAGGGGTCCTCGCAACCATATTTCCAAAGAGCGAATAGATCGTCCCACATCTAAATAAGAATGTATCCGTATAGGTGGGGAAAAAGCACTTCATCCCGACCTTACAGAAGGTGGAATAAATTCTTACCGCCTCGAAATATCTTATGTAGTTTACAGTAGGCGAGTGACTACCTCCTCATCTTCTACTGATGACTAAATGGTAGTATCTTAAATACTTGTTTCTAACTTATCTACCACTGCAACAGTACGGATGTATGTTTAACGTTATAATACAGTGTTAAAATGTACAGATATTTGAAATAAAAAAAAATATTTTTTTTCTGACTTCCTATGTTATTTTAATATTTTTTGATTACATTTAAAGGTAGTATTTTTAACGAAAATATTCAAATATATCTGCTTTATTTTTCCGTTAAAGATGATTGTGAATGCAGTTTACAAGAGAAATTTGCAATTTTTTCTCTCAAAGATCTTGAGAAGGATACTTAGGGAGTCTGTAAATATTACAATAATACATTATTTTTATTATGAGCTCTTTTATCCGCCAGTTTATTTATTACGCATAGAATAATGAAACAAAGGGTTAACCGGACACTGGAAAAAATATTTCTCCACATACATTTTCAGTTACCCGAACACACTGTACGTATCTTGAAAACAGGCTTAATCTTCATTCCATTAACCGGGCAGTCGAATTTATTAAGAAAACGATTTTTTGCAACAGAATAGATATAACAACTTAATACATTAATTATCAATAAAACCAAAACAATATTAAACTCCTTCCTGTCAATAACAACTTATAATCCCTCATTTAAAAATCTCTCTACTAATAATAAAAAAAAACGTCTTCACTTTTTCTTCACTTTTCCCTGGGCGCATCAAGTAAATCCTCTTAAACAAAGACGAAGAGAAAATTATATAAAAATGAAACTTTTTATAAGATTATAAATTAATTCCTTTTCGAATGCTTTTATATTTTATATAATATTATTAACAGTTTCCGTTTTTTTTTTTTGGTAAAAAACCGTAGTACTGTACGGTTACTAGATGGTCTCCGTTCACTAACAGACTTATCCTACATATATATAGAGGGTACACCATCTCTTTGCGGTATATATGTATATATAGTTGTATAAACTGTAACATGAAACATCAAGAGATATGAACAAAATGAGCTTGAAATCACTTTTATTTTTTTTTAATTAAAATTTAATTTACTATAAATTTTAAATGTTGGTCGAATCACGACTTGAACCCTGATCTTCCGAATGGTAGTACACAATGCTAAGCACCTAAAAAAATTTTAGGTTTATTTAATTACTACATTTTTTACATTTTTTGGTCGAGTTAATTTTCCCTTTTTTTTTTAAAAGTGACACAAAGCTGTGGGATTAAAACTGTAGATCTTCGTTCAACCACACAACTCTGATTCGTTGTAAACGTTAATAATTCGTATGTTGTTCATATAAACAGTCTGCTTGCGATTTATTGAAAATTCCATAAGACCAAGCGTTCCTCACCAAGCAAAACTAACCTCACTTATTATTTTTCGTTCTTATTATATTATTAATGTAAGTTCATTGTATACATACATACATATGTATAGGAATATACATTGATTATCGCTCATAAAAGACACCTTCCAGCTGAGCGTAGAAAATTAGAAAATTATTTATTTATTTGGTTGAAGACACTTAAAAACAGCTAAGAATCTAATGTTTGTATGTACACTCATTTAGTACATCGAAAATAATTTATGTTATTGAACTCTCATGAGCCGCTCAACGTTATTGTACAATTAATTTCGATGTATGTAAACAAACTTTTATTGAAGCACTACTCGTTGATGGCACAGTGTTTGCCAAATAAACATTTCTCATTTGAAAAATAAAAGCAAAAACGGAAAGCCAAATAAAAAAAGTAAAATTTTTTGTATTATGAAAAACGTAGAAAAATACTTGTGGGAAATGTATGAAGATTTTCTTGTGAAGGTAAATTGTTGCTAATTTTTTTTAATATTTTTGTGTACTTGTACAATGTATTATATTAAAGTATATATATATGCGTACATAGGCATATTACTGCTTATATTTGTGTGTATGAAAATTTCAACATATTATCTCATAAAAAATTGCACAATACTTTATTATTTATATTCTTTTAAAATGTACATAGAAATGTGTGTACATATATATGTATTGTAAGAAGACATATATGTACACGTATTTAAGCGTGTATGTACCTCATCATTTCTGATTTTGGCAGCTGTCTTCGAATTATTTTCCGCACAGTTTTTTGTGACGCTTTTCCATTGCGTATATATGTATGTATGTATTTTAAAATATATTGCCGAGTTTATATCTGTAGTTGCCCCGTAAACATTAGATTTTGTTTTAAAGCTGTGAACTAACGGGGTACATACTTCTCAAATCAAAAATGCGGTTTCTCAACAGCAGCTCAACTTGAGCATGAAAGCTTTCTCAAGCCAATAAAATTTGCAACGAGAGAGGGCAATTATGACATTTCATTACTGGTTAATTTTTAATTTAATTTTTCTCACCGAGTAGAGCTACTGGCGGGGTGTTCAAGAATTTTCAGGCGGTAGGGCAGGGCTATCGTATGAGCCGACTAAAATCCAAAAGTTCCCGTGATAGTCGGGTCTTTATACTGAAGCGACGTAGTTTTTTATTTGGCCAAGGGTTGTCACTTCTGCAAAATATCTCTAAAAGTGCTTTGACGAATGTTTTGTCTATAAAAACAACAACAACAGCACTAGTTACATCTAAAATGCTTTGATAGTAAATAAGATTCAACAGACTTGGCCAAAGTTCTTAAAACCATTTTATAATGATTTTGAATACCAGCTTGAAACATTTCAATATCTCAAGTGTCAAGTTTGTTGGTTTTTGAACTTTGATATATTAATAAATAGTATAAACCAAATACATTTTTTTCTATTACAAAATCATTTATTATATATTTATTATTCATATTAAGGCATTTATGGTTGTATGTATGTATGTGTTGGTTACTATTTACATACATACGTGTATGTATGCATATATTGTAGTTCATAGTTGTCTATTCAAAATTCCTTTCGGCAGTATGTTCTTTTGTCTATTATAAATTTCACTTTTTAATTTCGTTTTCTCATTTTTGAAAATATGAGATGTTTTTCGTTCATTAAAACGTTTGGCTGACTAATAATGCTCTCTAACAATGAAGAAATAAATGCGAGGTCATTGGCGAGACCCGTCTCTTTGAAAAATACTTATGTATGTATGTACATATGTATGTATGTTAGCAAACTAATATGTATACGAACATATTTGGAATGTATTTTTTTTCTTAAGCTTGTATGTTTGTATACATTTCCGAATTGGTCGGCTCGATATAAAGCATTTTCACATCTATTAACTAGGAAAAACACTTGAAAGTTATTTGAAAAATGATAAATATTCGTATAAATGTATGTATGTAATAAAGTGTTTGAATGTTTACGATGAAAATATTTACACTACATACGGCACATACATACATACATTTATACATATAATTTTAAGAAAGATGCATATGTATGTATGCATGTATGTATGATTGTACGTCTACATATCATAGAAATAGAAAATATTTTGTTTTGAACTTGAAAATTTGATGGTCTCTTGCAATGTCAGCTCATTCGCGTGGAATCATTGTGAAAGCGAAAAGCACTAACATAAACATATATACTCGTACATACATATATGTATGTTTTAGAATTATCAAAAACGATATTCCTATTAAATTTTTATTTATTAATTTTTTTTACGTTGTTGAAACCGTTCAAGCAGAAATGTTCTCCGATTTTCATACATATGTATATGTACATACAAGGATAAAAAAGTTGTTTTTTTCCTTTTTGGTTTTAAATTTTCGCGCGGTACGTCGAGAAATCTGACGTCCACACAATAATTAGGAGGAGTGTGATAAAGCTTTATATTAAATAGAAAGGTCAGAAGGAGATAATATGTAGTTGATTTGAGCTCAGCGTTGGCGCTGTTGGTCAGTGACCAACGTATTCAGGTCAATAGGCCCATGGTGATACCGCTGTAAGCCTCCTGTCTTCACATTCTCAAGTTTCGTGAGCCACTTTCCGCTGAAGCAAGCTTAGTGAGTAAGTCAACGAAGTGTTTCCCCGCCAAACTTGGCTCGACAGTGGTGTTTAATAGGCTCTCGTTCCTACAGCAGCAGCAAGAATCATTAGAGTAGTAGCCCATTCTTTTCCCGTAAAGCCCGATAAAATTGATAACTCATCAATAACTATTATTTATTATTTTTGAGGTTTTAACGTTTGTCGTGCTTTCACCTTCTTGAAGAAATCCTCGGGTTGTTTTTATAAAAAATCCGCGAGTCTATGGAAGCCATATATTTTTATATTGCGTTTGTTTGTCGATGCTTGAACGTTCTCTGCGACTAAGTGTAATGAGAGTTTGTAGCAGAAAATTTTTTAATTTAATTTAATTCAAAATGCGTCAATAATAGAGAATCTTCAGTTGCCGTAAAATCGTTATAATTGGTAAAAAAAGTTGTAAATTAAAAAAGAACGTCTCAACTCAAAAAACACAAAAACAAGAAACAGTTGACGGTATTTTTCCAGTTAAGGAAAACTGTGATTTAAAAGATTTTTTTACGAGTTGTGTCTTGTGAATTTGTTTGTCGAAAAAACGATTTTGAAAGATTTTGAGTTGTGACGTTTTTTTTTTTGATACGCTTGATATTTTTTCAATGCATGTATACATGCATATATAATTTTAATGATCATTAACCTCACTTTCTATTTACTTTGTTTTTCAGCGAACAGAATATGTTAAATATGCTAAGGTTTTTCCTCTGGCTACATTATTTGGCTTTAAAGTACCCTCAAAATGGTATCGGCGAACTGTTGGTATACTGGAAATAACTTGTGGGCTTGCTATGGCACTCATTCCATATCGTATGTTCCAAATGAAAAATTTATATACGAAAATAATAAATTTTAATACACCTACATATACCCCAATTGAATATTTTAGATAAAGTAAAAAATGCTGCCAATGTAACTTTGTTGCTGCTAATGATTTTGGGCGTCTATCAACATTGGATGGTCAGTGATCCTTTTGAACGTTCGGGACCGGCGCTTGTATTCACATTCATGTTGGGTGGGCGACTTGTAGTTTGGTATCAGGTGAGTAGAAAGTTTGAGAGCAAAATAATGTTTTCGCATATGCATTCATTTAAATAAATATATGACATTGTAATTGCAGACAAGTCGAAAGGAAGCTGAACTAGCTGCTGCCGCACAACCACAGACGAACGGAGTTAAACAGGACTAAGATATTAAATAGATAACAGAAGAAAAATGCATAAAAATCAGAGCCAACCAATTTTAATCAAATAAACGCATAATTACCATAAACAAATCGCACATCACTATATACTAGATACATAAACCCCATAAAACAATCGAAATACATAAACTTCACGAAGTTACACATAATATAGCCATCTATCATTCATGCCATATATGCAAACAAAAAAGTATATGCACTCTCACATTTTAATCTAAGCGCCCCAACAAAAACTAGTGAATTTATCGTATATTTTTCAACAAATTTTTTTTCTAAATAATAATACCCTCTGTTAGTCCAATAACAAAAAATTTGCTCAATAGTAGCTAAATTTAATGACATAGCAATGAGATGAAATGAATTCTAGATAATCATAAAAAAACTAAGTGCACGCATCTATTAAAATCATAGATATTACAAACTACGCATTGGATCATTAGAAATTGAATACAAAAGCTGATTTCATTTTCATTACCATATCTCAATAAATTTTAATAAAAATTTGAAAGGAATTCAATTTGTTTGGGAAAATGAAATTGAACATACACGTATAAAAGTAAGTAGGCAAGATTTTGACTATTTTAAATGGAGAACTTGCCATGTTTTTCAATTTATTATAGATTATCATACACAAAAAATTTAATACTTGAGTTTGAAAGCTTTGCATTTTATTTGAATATTTATCTCTTATTTAAGGCAATAAATCCTTTCTAGCACTTCTTAATACATTATATACTCGTTTATAACATAAACAATTTATAGTGAGTTTCAACTAAACTTTGCGAGTACTTGATTAATAAAGCAATTTATACCATTATAAAAATCATTTAGCTATCCTCGCCAGTCGTTAGAAGTTTTAATGCTTTTTGCAAATTATCAATAGCTGTTTTTACATCATCGAAATTAAGAGCAGTACCAGCGAATTTCGTATATTTCTGAGCTTTCATTATTTGTTCTGGTGTTAGCTGTAAATCGGCCACTGGCGTTGGTGGAATATAAATACGATTCTGCTGTGCTTGCGGTTCGTATGGCTCGAAGCCACCAGGTTTTTCTTCGTCGACTGGTGGGCTTGGTAATTTATTTGGATTATTCAGAACTTCATCTACTGTTGGAGGCGGACTTTGTGGTGGTGACGGATCCGGAATTGGTGCCGGACCAACAGGTTCATCTGACGGTGGATCTTGTGGAATGGCTGTGATTTCAGGATCACCATCACCATCGCCATCTGCCTGTGCACCTTCTCCCTCATTATTGCCATCAGCGCCCCCTACGGCTCCAAACTCATCTTCATTTTCTGGCATTGGACCTGGAATTGGTACCTCACCATTTTTCAGGCAATTGTGTATGTATGCTGCCTTCCATTTGGCATATTTGCGGTTGTGTATGGATTCTTCAGACAATTCGCCAAATGTTTGTAAAACATCGTAGATAACACCGCTAGAGTAAAATGCTTTAACAACATTTCTGTAATGTAAAACAGTAAGACAATTGAAACATTTGATTTAAAAGTTATATACACAAAAAGAACTTACTTTCCAAAATTCGATTCGCGATCTTGTTTATCTGCATACAGGAAGAGTTTCAATGCATAATTTTCCAAATGTGCTTGCGCCGCTACCTCGTTCGTAATTGCTTCATTTTCAACTTGAGTCTTTTTAGTGTTTTCCAACCAATCCATTATAGCTTTAAACAAAACAAAAATGAGTCACTTTCTACGGCATTCGCACCCCTACTTATTATTTACATATCGATGTACATACCCAGCAATAGTTTGGTTTCATCTGGCTGCTGTTTTGATATTTTCAAACCTATTTGCAATGCGTACAGCCGGGCCCAATACGCAACAACTATATCCCGTGCGTCGTGTTCCTGTGCAATTTTCAGGAAATGCTGGATCTGTTTTAAAGTTGCTGGACATGGAGGAAATTCCATTTTTCTTTCACTGAATTGGACAAAACAAAACTAGTATGATATCACAGAAATTGACTCAGACAGAGAACGTATAACATAGAGAAGGTGCAAGTACGGACCAGAGTGGAAATTGTCAAAAAGCACGATTACTTCGTTTCACGTAATCGTACCACACTCCTCACATGATTCGCAAAACTTGCTGTTAATTAAAAGAATTGAGCGTAACAGTATGTTAATTTGTAAACATAATGTAAATTGATAACATTGATAAAAATAAGGAAAATATCGCAAAATTTGCCGACGGCAATTTAATTTTTGCATATGTAGATATGTACGCCTTACTCAATTTAATACGAAATTGAAATATCCTCACTATCGTTTTCAGCAGGTCAATATATATACATTATACTCATAATTCATAGTTGTATTCCTATTAGAACAGAAATTATTCA